AGCCGGCGGTGGCAGGACCCAGCCGGGGACGACCAGTCGCCTCTTCTAGAGAGGTAACGCCGGGTCCTGGCCCTGAGAGATACGCGGAAGTTGGGAGCGCAGCGAGAGGAAACCGGATGCCTCGGGCCATGGCCTCCCCGAAGTGGGCAAGGCCCGGGCTGCAGCTGGTACTGAGCCTCCTGGGATTTCGTGTGGGTGCGGCTGCGGATGTGTGCTAAGAGTGCTTCATTGAAGTTTAACTTATTACAGCGAAATGCTCAGCCCTTACGTGTTCAGCTCCATTAATTTTTATGTATGTGTACACCTGTGTAATCATCAGCCAGATCAACAAAGAGAATGAGCCCATCACCCCAAAAAGTTCTATCGTGCTCCTCCCAGATCTTCCTTCCTTCCCTGTCCTTCTTCCCACCCATCCCAGGCAACCACCTCAGTATATTCTGCTGTCACTATGAATTTAGTTTTGCCGGTTCATATACTTGGAATAACGCAGAAAGTTCTCATCCGTAGGCTTCTTTCATTCGACAGAACACATTTGGGATTTGTCCTGTTGAGAATATAAATAGTTCATATCAGGGGTTACTGACTTTTTATTGCTGAATAGTATTCCACTGTATGAAAATGTCACAGTTTTTAAAAATTCGTTCGCTGTTAGACACCTGGCTGCTTGCTTGCTTCCTCCCCTCCCTTCTTCCCTTCACTAAAATTGTGAGTAAAGAAAGCTGTGGTGAATATTCTGGTATAATTTTTTGTTTGTTTTTGGCGGGCACAAGCTCTTATTTTTCTAGGGTAAATATCTGTGAGCAGACATGCTGGTCACAGGGTAAGCATATGTTACTTCTATTAGAAGCTGCCAAACAGTTATCCTAGTGACATTCTATGTTGTACCCCTTAGAGGTTGTTTTAAAAATGAGTACAGGTCCAAACAGGACTACCAAAATGAGGTATGTTATCAGTGTTCCTTCTGAGCAGTGTCCCTGTGGCCGGTTGGAGATAACATAAAAAATCTACCCGTATGAGCTTGTTTG